AGGAGGAATGACGTAAACCGCACTGTGGCTTATGTGAGTTACAAAGGCTAGGTTTTTGTTGGTAACATTGCTGGAGCTTCCTCTGCAAAGGACGGTGGGATTTCACCATTGGATTTTGGTATGTTGCAGAAAATAAGCTTTGTGGCACATTTTTAGGATACTTTAACACATTGTACATGATAGGCTAAGGCGCGTGACATCTCTTATCGGTCAATCAATCACAACAGACGCGACCAGCTAACCATTCAGAGCAGACTGGGCTCTGGTTTCAGACAGAGGGTGAAAAGAGGTGCTGCAGCACAGGCAGTATGAGAAAAATAAAGCGCTTTTTGAACATTAAATCCTGGAGACATGTCTCAGTGTAACCCTGAAAATGAGCAGGATCTGTCCCCTTTAAAGTAAAATTGTTCATATCCACTGTAGGTGCAAGCAGAGATCAAGAGGAAGTGGCGGAGGTGGCACCTGCAGAGATACATGGGCTCCGACACCAAATACCAACATCCGTCCATCGGCAGCAGCAACAACTTCAGCACCCAGGTCACCATGATGACCCGCTGCAGCCCCAAAACACGGAGGACTTCTTCCTCCTGCAACGACGACCTGTCTTGCATATGACTCGCACAAAAAGTGAGAGAGACTTCATGCTGTACAACAAACTCTCGTGCCAAATATAGGACAGAAAAGGACGCAACGAAACCCCCTACACATCTGCTAACGTGTCGCTTGAGTGTGACTTGGACAAAGTAAAGTGATAAGAAGTTTTAATCTCCATGCTTCTTAAAAAAAAGTGACAAAGAAATTAGCTTCACAAACAGCTTTTTCACACTTGGATGAGAACCATTCACGATTCATTGCACATGTACTGTACAGGGGAATTAGTGAGTCATATCATTATGGATCATTTGGTCATTCATTATCAAGTTCTGTGTGATGTGTCACATTTTAACGGGGTTAGGTTAGGGAATCCTAATGTGAACTGCACCAGCAGCAGCCCTGCAATCTGATGTAATTATCACTGATTAAAAATCACTTAGCGGATTCCTGCAGCTCCAAATGAACAAGGCTGGTGCGAAGACGTTAAAAGAAAAGGAGCGAAGGTTTTTCTTTTAACTGCAAATCTAATTATTTATATCGTGGAGTGACATCAAAGGCAAAGAATAGCACCAGAAATGCATTATGAAGATGTGTTTGAATGTGAGAGGTGACCAAAAAAAGGACTTGGATGATAACATGACTGAACTGACTTCAGACCAGTGTGCTGCTGATTCCCAGCGATGCGTCTGGAGCATAAATGCCCTTCTCTGCACTATCACTCTCATGAGAGACTGATTTCCTTTCCATCAGTACAGCCCACCCTCTTGTTCGTGTGATATCTGTGTTATGTGTTTTTTTTGCTTGCATGTGCCGATCGCTGACGAGTGCCTGGTTTCATTGTTTCTGAACTAACACTTTCAATCCAATCTTCACCGGCTGTGAGCAGCTCCTGAGAGGAAACGCCTTGAAGCAAATCAGCCTTTCAATGTTTACAGTTATAAATAGCATTGTACACACACATCTCCAGTGTAAAGAATAACTCCACATCGTCGTGCCATACCGTTTGCATTGTTGCTACAATAAGTTGTTGTTTGATAAAGTCCACAGGAATGGTCTTGCTTGTGTATGCAGCAGTCTGTGGCTAAATGCTTAGTATAACAGCTACATAATTGCACCGCATTACACTTAAAAACAGACTTGTACAGAGAAGTGTCTGAGCAGTGCTTCTGTGATTTTGAATTCTCTTTTGACCCGTCTGGTTCTCCGAGGAGGAGTGTGTCCGACATGTCAGCAGAGTTTTGTTCAAAGCAAAGCAAGGTGACAGGGATGACTGGTGCTGTCACCTCGAGGCCATCATTGTGCTTTTCAGACCACAAGATCGGACGTGTTGTTTGCTGGCTACAACAGATAAGAGTAATACTGCATGTTTGGAAATCTTCATAGTCGTCTGAGAGAGTGATATTTACCGAAATGTCAAACTATTTCCTTAAATTATCCCAGATTGTTTACTGCTTGTTGTCAGTCAATGTAATTGTGTGCCGACGTACCTCTCATATGGTGAATGTAAGCCAAGTGATTTTAAATCAGTCAGGTGTTGCTAGATATGATCTTTTTAGTGTTTTGGTGACTTTGCATGGTTGTTTTGTATCAGTGAGATAATAATACAAAGGTTTTGAAATAACAACCATTTAAATGTTCACTTAAAGTAATAATGCAGTGTTGAAGTATGTGTTACATAGACGTGTTAATATGCAAGCTTGGATAATGTGTATATTGAGTATTTGATTGGTTATGTGTTGCATGTGACAGTGGTGCAATGCATTGTGAAGCTTCAAATGTGAACACAAAAGGCTCTTTCTTAGTTAAAAATAATTGTTTTTTAAATATTATTCATTGTCTTTGTTGTACAGTGTATGTCAAGATTGCTGTCTTGGCAGAAAACTTGCCATAAAATATTGACATTGTTCCACTGTGTGAAATAATTACTTTTTTATTGAGATCATTTCAAATTCCACGTTGTATTTTGCTGTCAAAATGAAATCCCATCAAGTCAATTCTTTCTGCTGCATGAACATCCGTAATGTCCTTATTGACTACATGTGACGTATTGTTGCTTAAATGAAGTGTGCTATTTGACAAGGGCATCATTTAAAGTTTAATCTACAGAGATGCTTACTTAAAGAGACCCTATTATGTTTCGTAATTGCATTTTGAGCCTCTACTATGACATGTCTCCATGCTTTAAAGGTCCCATGTCATGCTTTTCTGGTTATCACCCGTCCCCTTGTGTTATGAAGGTTGTTCTGCATGTAAACGGTCTGCAGAGTCAAAACCCCTCAAAGTACACCCTGTAGCGAGTAAAACTCTAACACAGAAAAGACTTGTCTGTGCTGCCCCAGAACGCCTTGTTGGAGATTGGACATAGTGACGTAACATAACGTCCATGGAGCCGTTACGTTTGGACCAATCCGCGGACTTCCTCTGCTGCGAGGAGCTGGCTCACTGGTGTGGGGTCGGCGAGACAGCTAGATATCGCGGAACTCAGCCTGGGCACACACACAAACTCCCAGCCAGGCTGCGGGTGTGTGTGTGTTTCAGGCTGGGTTTAACGGTGTCTCGCTGTCTCGCAGACGGCCACTGGGCTCACAGGAGGGGGGGGGCAGGAGCTCCAACAAGCCGTTTAGGACAGAGAGTGAATACACATACTAGACAGAGATGCTGTATGAGAAACCAATGTGAGTTTGGAAAATTGCACAATATACATGTATTTTAGTAGACATCAACAATGGAATTATGATCAGTAGAAATGGCCATGACATGGGATCTTTAATGTTCTAAAAGTCTTTATTTTCTCATCCTTCCTGCACCCTGCACCACGTCTTTACAGGCACAAAAACCTATCACACTACATGAAAGGAAAACCCCCAAAAAGCATAATAGTGCCTCTTTAAGCTTCAGACATAACACCTGTAATTGAAAATGATATATTCACAGTCTTTTACATTAGCAATATTCACATTGTACAGCTTGAATATAATCAGGTAGCAACACATGTCATTAATTAGGAAGAAAATGTGTTATTAAGAGAAGGGTATGAAACACTATCTCCAGCTTGTAGAGAGAGGAACAGGTAACAGTGCCTTTAAAACTAAATAATTACAAAACCCACCTCTAAATATACAAACCAGGCATTACTCCTTTCAATCAAATCTCAGTATTTCTTCCAATGGGATCTGAAGTCAGAAATCAAAGCGCCTCTTGCTCCAGTTCCCTCCATTGTTAGTTCAGTTACAATATTTGACGGATATAACTGGCCCCGCTGAGTTTACTTTGGCGTAGTAATGAAACCGCAGCTATTTGAGTTAATCCGTGTGTTGTCCCTCAGGTTTATTGGTTCTCTCGATGCCTGTGAGGCCTCTCGCTGTGCTCAGCAGCTCGGCGAAGAAGAGCGAATTCAACCAAGGAAAAAGGCTGTGTGCCGTAAAAAGATTAACAAACACACCGAGCCATGCCTGGTTTAACACATCAGCCGCTCTCGGGCCTGATGTTTAATTAGCTCTGACCATGAAGTGGAAATGAGAATGCATATAATACGATTAACTATTAATAGGAACTGTAATTGTTGTGAAAAGAGGGATTATTAGGGTTGTTGCATTGAAAACATCAACCCTGTGGCCCCTGGGTCTCATATGCTCGTCAAATAGATGTGCTTATTTTTGTAAACGCTTAATATATAGGTGTTATAGTGTCTTGCTCTCATTAAACAGGCAGTGGGCTGCAGACGAAAGAGAAGATGGATGATGTTATTTTCAGATTCCCAGTGACACTTAAAATGTGCGACAGGTGTCCTGCCTTTAAGCGTCTTTTAATATTCATGACACCGGTTAAATATTCATGTTGCAAATAAAGCAAAGTTTGGAGAGGCAAGTGTCCAAACGGCTAAGAGGCTGCTTTGATTTCCGTGACTCTGATTTAAAGGGAAGCCGTCTGATCCAATCAGAAGCCAGGAGTCATGCTATTGAACATCAGAGGAAAAGCTGCAGGATAAGCCTCGCTGTTTATCAATGATTTCATGAAAGAATGAGTGTAAAGGCTCTTCTCTTCCATGCGAAAGCTTAAAGAGAGATGCAGCTTTGTTGGATAATAACAGAATTGAAAGTTTAGGAAAATATATATAATATAATGCCAGCTGGTATGAAACCCAGAAAGAAAAGGTTTCAAATTTCCTTTTTTTTTGTGATCACACAAGTCTTTAGGGTGGTATAAACATAATGACTAACGAAAACTAAAAAAATATATTTGTATTTTTGTTTTATTGTGTGTCCTTTGTAGAGGACATCGGGTGTTATACGAAGCATAAACAACATTAACATACAAGCACATTTAGACAACATTAGAGCACAACAACTCAATGCAACAAATACTGAGCCCTCATTTGTAGTACTCCATCCTTTTTTGAAATGCAGAGATACATCTGACACTTGAGGCACTTGATGTATGTTTTCCCACTGCATCCGTCTGCCATGAACCCTACAGAAACCTACGTGTTACTTTTGGCTCATAGTGGACTCCATTTGTGTTGGGAATGGGGAAAATAAAAAGTTAGCAAATCCCCATGTCCTCCTCAGAGGGCATTCATAACAACATTTCGTTTTAGGTCAAATAAGTATTACACTGCTCTGAAACTCACTACACTAACTCCTGATGTTCCCTTACTATAATTAATTAACAATATTGAACTCACAACACTGGTAATTAAAAATTACAAACTTACCATTTCTCTTTCTATAAATAGTGCTTGGTTGACGCCATGTTGAAATACAATGAAATTATCTTTTTCAAAGCCACACCCCCACATATTGCATATGTTTGAAAAGCCCAGGATGTCCTCTGTGGGGTTCGATTTGAGTTAATGCTGTGGCATGTATAACCTCAAAGTAATGGACCAAAACCCAATGTGCTCCACAGAGGACGAAAATGACTGGGTGGGTCTCTGGAGGATAAAAGAACAATATGGACAGCTAGATCTAATGGTGCCTCATTGAGTACGGCACAATGTGGTAAAACTGCAAACTGGTTATAGTTAAAGTTTTCAGTCTGACCATCTCTTCTGAACCAGAAAAACTCAAGAAGTCGGGGATGGTTCAAATGCTTTAGTATGAGAAAAATAAAGCACTTTTTGAATCATGGAAACATATCACAGTAGAGGCACGAAATACAAATATGCAAGATATGTCTTCTTTAAGTAGTTATACCACCAAAAACATAGCTAAAAGAGTGCAAATATTGAACATATATTCATCAGGAGGACATTAACACAACTCAGAGTGAAAGCTAACGCTGCTCCATGTCTGCTGGATGTGTTAATAAGCCACTGTTTGCTAACACGTTCAACATTACATATCTATAAAGTCATGTTTTCCATTTGTTGTCGCTTGATCTGCTGCCGCCATCTGAACAAAGAAGACAAACTAATCATTAATGAATACAACAGAAGTTATTTTCCCCTTCACTTCTGTCACTGCCAACACACAATGTAGTAGAAACTTTTTAGAAATGGGCTCCTTGATTCATGTTTATCCGAGGTGTCAAAAAGCTTGGGAAGTTGTTTCACACATTTAAACAATGACAGGATGCTTCATATCGCTTTTGACATAATTAATGTAGTATTTAAAGCATGGCGTCATGTCTGGGTGAAGTAATGTTATTGTGAAGGCCTGGGGTTTGACGGTAGGGAGGGTTTTCACTTACATACAGTCTATAGTTATCGCTTTGTATTATACACACATGGGATACTCTGTGAATATCCTTCAGATACAACAAATAAGAAATTATAAGTACGTTTTGAATGATAACAGATTTTAAGCATTGACTGACTGAAGCAAAACAAATCCTTTATTTTCTAGAACCACAGATCTATCAAGTTAACTGAATCTCTTTGTATCAATTAATGAAGAGTCAGAAAATCCACTTCAAGGCAGACAATAATGTACTGGCGAGAATGGAGTAGTGGAGTAAAGTTTATGATTGGATTTGTCTCTGCTTTGTGATTACAATAATTGTTGAGTCGAGCCAGTGAGCAGGGAACATCAAAGACTGTGGGTTTATGAACTGTTGAGCATCCTAATAGGCATAAGGCACATCCTGAGTAACAGACCGGGAATCAACACGGAACATAGTGTGAATGTTAAAGCCATTGTTTCCGCATCAGCTACGAAAGCACACTATGGGAATCCAAGAAATGCAAAAAGGTAGATCTTTTTTGCTATAATAAACCATTCTTAATATGTAAAAGGGTTCAAAATATAACCACTGCTGTTGAAGACAGAGAACTATAATGGGCATAATTCTTATATCTCTGATATTGGAGACCTCCACAGAGAGACTAAGTCATGGCCCTGAGAAATGAATAGTATTTGAAATGTATGGAAAAAGCTTGAGTGGCCGCCAGCATGTGGCTTGGGCACTGGACCTGGGACAAAGATTAAATAGCCTTGATAAAAAAAACGGTGGTTGCCAGAGTGACTCACCTTCTTCCACGGCACAAGGTAATTTCATACAGTCTTGGAGCTTCCAAAATACTTCCTGCCACTGTTAAAATATCAGGGAAGAGGCATGACATTTTAAATAATAAGGTTGTTCTGGTGGGCTCTTGCCTCTGCCAGTTATTTTAAATTATGAATTGGATAAATTGGATATTACAATATATGTATTTTTCACCTTTTGGGCTGTCCATCATTTATCCATTACGCTGCTGTTAGCTATTTCAACCATTTATCCATGACTTTTAGCTAACCGTTTCAGCTAGCTATACTAACTGTCAATTGACCCTTTACTTAAGGTGACCAGATTTTCTAAATTAAAACCGGGGACATTTTGAGTTTTGCGGTCAATATATCATTAACACATCCAATTTTCTTCACTGTTAAAGAAAAAAGGGGGACAATTCTGGCTCAATGTAATTCG